ATGGATATATTTTGCAATAATTAAAAAACAAAATACAGTACTGTTACTCTATTGACCCTGATGCTGGTATTGGGACTCAAACTCCAAAAGTATTTTTCAATACACTAAAAAAGTAACCAGCAAAAGGAAGCAGGAGGAGCTGTACAAATGTATAGATTTTTTTAGACAAAAAGTTGTTTGAGCAACTGTGTCCAAAGCAAATTCCTTTTAATCCACACCCAAACAAATTGATGTGTTTGGAATTTTCCTGTGGAGTTTTATTCATCGAATAAGTCTCCACAGGTAAATCCATGATGGATGAATTCATTCTGGTGTAGATTAAAAAGAATTTGATTCAGAAGAATTTTTGTTAAATTTACCAAGATGCATCCTATGATATCTGTCACTCGGTTGCTATTTTACTCTGATAAAGAACCTCACAGGAGCAATAATTCTCCTTCTCTCACCTGTCGTTCATTTCTTGGCATACATACTATACTGTCAGCATAGCACTATATGATAGTATTAAGGAACAGCGCACACAAAAACTAGTTTTACATTTTACAAGGCTACTTTAAATCCCTTATCTTAGCAAACAAATAAAAGGATGGAGTTCATATTGTGTTAAGTTCACCACTACTCCAATATCGATGGGTCCTACACCTTTTTTTAAGATAAACATGCTAACTGCAATACTTAAAGGGGCACTCCAGTGCCAGGAAAACAACTGCGGGTCCCCTCTCCCTCCCACCCCCCATCCCAAGTTGCTGAAGGGGTTAAAATCCCTTTATCCAGCGCCGATGTCCCTCGTCGCTAGTTCAGGGTCTGCCCACGCTGACGTCCTCAGGGAAGACCTATTGCGCATGCGTGGCCGGTGGCGGGGGAGACCTAATGCCGAGGGGAGCTAACCCATAAATTGAGTATGAGAATATTTCCAAATTGGCTATTTTAGCCTTAGTTTTAAATATTCAAATTTAATTCACTAAAAATACAAGTATTAGTGTATATTCCTATTCACTTAAACTCAAAATTTGCATATTCAAATTTGCTTCTTTCTAAAATGTTTTTTTTTAAGTGTAGTAGGTTAGTTATTCAGATTCCTATGCTTGTGGTGGTTTTGAACAAATAAATCATTACCCTTTGCATTTTTGTTTTTTTACCTCTAGAGGGCGACAGACGTTCAATAAAGAAATGTCTCCTGCTTCCAGAATTATTCTGCATTCCCTAATACACTGTTTAATATAATTGTATAAAATAAACTTATAAATGGCACATATTGATACCTCTCCCTGATATACTATTATACATAAAAACAATAATAATAATAATAATTTTAAATTATAGTTATTGTTACTGCATCACTATTGTTAATAGTTAAAAAAAATTATCACATATTTATAATTTCATTTGTTTAAAAAAATCTTTAGTTGAGGGGACTGAATCTAAAGTATAACAATAAAAAAAAAAAAAAAATTCACAAGTGGCTGATTTTATTTGGAGAGTGTGGTGCTATTACCGAAACAGAATTTGAGAGTAGAATCAGACACATGGAGTGATATGTATCCATACATCAGATGTGTATGTGTTATAGTATATAGTATAGTTTTATAGTACAGTGTGTTTTTTTTTTAAGGGTAAGGATAGTGTTCCTTATACACTTTTGTGTGTGTGTCTGTGTGTATATATGTATTAAAAAAATTATATATATATATATATATATATATTATAATAGGATGTTATATCTATCTTACTTTATTTCTTTGTTTATTTTCACTAACATATTAATCAGGCAAAATTGCTGTTAAAATGCAGTTTTATTGGACCTCATCTAGTGATATGATATACTGACTTTAGCTAAATACCCACATGTAAAATGTTAGTCTATTTTATGGCTTGCATTTGCCTTTCCCAGAATTTTCTATGTCCCCATGTTGATTCAGAGAGGACACCCCTTACCCTCCTATTGCTGTAGAAAGGATCGGTCACAGAGTGAAAGGGACACAATCATTATCAGGAAGAATGCCTGCTCTGTTTGTATCACCTGGAAGTCAGCCTTTAAATAGAAGAATATTATTTGGAAGAATAATGCTTCATGTACACAAATGTCAGACTATTATTTTTCATTGATTTTCCTTTATTAATCCCCTGTTTTCCTTGCGGTCAGATTTAATTTTATTAAAATTACAAATCTCAAATATTGTATGTGTCTCAGTTTGTTTGGAATGATGGCATCTAAATATATCTTTTTAATGTCCCCATAAATGTCACCATGCATTACTTTAAAGAAACACGATCAACGAGGGTACTTACAGATTTTGTAACACTTACCAACTGCTGAAACTGAAGACAGGGGGGAAAAAGTAAAAAAACTAAACAAAAACCAAACAAAAAAAACAAAAAAACAAAAACAAACAAACAAAATATAAAAAAGAATATTGCATATCATGTATGTATATAAATTTATTGACTTCTTATATTGCAGGCAATTCGATTTTCCATTTTTTTAATAAAACTTTTATCAGGACCAAAACAATGTGTGTTGCTATATTTAATATATTATTTTATTCTTGCTAAATATTATTTATTTGTCTGAAGGCAGTTGTGGTAGTGCATTTATCTATTACATTGATACTTTTCTACAATGAATTCCTATTTAAATTCCAAATGCAGGTTGTGTATGCTTTGCCTATTTAAATTGGGATCCCCTTGTTTGTTCTCCCTGGGTAATGTCACCTTTAGATACTGTATTTAAAAAGGCATGAAGAAGGCATCCTAATGTCAAGATTGGACATTCTAATGGAAACCCGAGGGAACATGTGTAAAAGAAAATCTACACATATATTAACATCTTAAGTAACTGCTCACTTAGAACGCACTCATTTTTATTTCACCAAAGCAGACCAACTGGCTTTTATTTTATTTTATTATTATTTTTTAGGTGGTATTTCCTTCCTCTCTTATCAGAAAATTATTTTAAAAATGTTATATTACAGAAAAAAAAAAAGCTACAAAAAAAAAACAGGCAGAGCCTACAGTTATAATGGAAGAGTGTATTTTTTTTTTGTAAAATATGAGATCATTATTTCATTTTATACACCAACTTGACTTTCACATGAAATAAGGTTTTTTTTTTTTATATATTTTTTTTTTTTAAGAAAAACAAACATTTTAATTAGGCAGCTATTACATTTCATCTATGTTCTTTGCTGAAACACTGGCAAATTGACCGATCACTCAATCATTAAGTATGAAATCATTAATTCACTATAAGTCAGGGCAACGTGTAACATTAATTCTTCATTAAGGAATAATCATTATTGAAATTGCAGTTACTCCAATTCTCCAAATACACAATTCTGTTTGCAAACATATAATCAATGCACAGAGATGGTCAGACACAACACTAACTGGGAGAAAATATATAGAAATTAATTCCTGCGGATATAGTAACATTGTGTAGAAATATACTCTATGAAAACTTGAAAACTTCCCTTACGGAATCATTCACTAAATAGAGAGTTGGGGCGAGTTACTAACTGATTTGCAAGACTTGTACCAAAATACCAGAGCTAATAACAAACATCTAACAATCAGCAGAATTTGATATTTATTTTGATCTACATTTTGTGAGCGATTCTCAGCATATTACAAGTTGTTGTTTATAGAATAGGCCCCTTTTAACCCTTTTAAGAGTTAGGGTTTTGGGTACTTTGCTAAATTTATACCATCCCAACTACAATAACTGTATTCATTGTTCAGATACAGGGCCACTTAACACTTTGGGTCCCAGGAGGAGAATCAGGATTGAAGGGAGCATGTTATAAACTCAAAATGTCATATCATATTTTAATAGACGGGGAATGATGTGCTAGAATGTGTAAATAGCTAGTTTTTGTGTTGGTCTAATTTTGTAAACGACACAAAAATGTACACATTTTATACAACTATTTTATACCATACGCCAAGATTAGTGTCTCTGTAACAAAAACATCTTGCGATACACCGAGTCATTTTGAACGGAGATACACGTGTAAGTCGATATATATTCTATATCTGTAAGCCAACAAATAATCTAATGTAAGCAAATAAATACTACAATCAATTAAGCAGAATGTTTGGCCAAATATTTTATAAATTTCCTACTGTGCTTAAAATTTAAAATATAAGGAAATTAAAATATAAAAAATATGAGTTATATAAGCTGAACTCTTAAAAAATATTTAGTTCAGATATTAGAATCACACAGTTGTGTGTATATATATATTTGTGTGTATATATGTGTGATACAGTATTATCTGAAATATAGCTATCTGTATATATATATATATATCTCAATACAATATGGACAATTATTATAAATGCACAAATAGAGGATTTGTAGTACACCTTGAAAAGCAGTATTTGTTTATATGTGTGTATATGTGTGTATATGTGTGTACACGTTTCACCATTAGCCTTGATTTTTCTTTACTAATTTTCCAAATGATTAAGTATATTACCATGTTGAGCATAAATGGCTGATAATACCCTGGTTAAACTGGTATTGTTTCTTCTCATGGGGTGTACATAATTGTTTAACACGCCGCACATAACTTTTCTTGCCCATATTGCTGTGTGCCATATGGTCCCTAATTAATTCCTAGAAGGAAACCCATTCACTATACGGCCAGCTCCCTTCTCGATGTATTGTGCTACATCCTGGGGAGATGGGGTTTGCTTTAGGAAATAAATCACTTTTCTTTCATGCACTATGATTCGTCTGGAAACCAGATCGCATTCAATTGACAAAAACTAAGCGCTTTCAATTTACTTTAGAAGATAATTTAGTAAAAGGGGCATCATTGACCACTCACACCAAAAGCAACAGGGAGGAAAAAAAAAAATCTGCTGGTAAAGGCGCGCCTAATATGCAAATAATGGAACGCCTGGAACCCCAACGTTCTAAACTGACACCCAATCAGAGAGCAGTGTGGAATTCTTTAAATATCACATGCCTGCAGCTTCACAGCTGGTCCTACCCTATAGGTGTAAATGGCCACTCCCCTTGGTGGGTTGATTGACAGCTCAAAGTTGCTTGTCCCTCCCCTCTGTTTAAGGAGGTGGGAGATGATGGAAAATAGTGTATTACCTTAGAGAGCTTCATCTGAGTTGTCAGACAAAAAGAAGAGTTCAAAAGAAACAAGGGTAGAGAGAGAGAGGCAGGAGGAGGTGATAGCCCAGGCATTCTCTGCTACAGCAGCCAGCAGGACAGAGGAAGATCCTGGATACAGAAAGAGGGACAATTTGCTAACATCAGCAGCAGGTGATAACCTTTCTTGACGAAAACTTGCTGTGACTGTTGCAACTAAGAACGAAGAGGAGAGAGACAGTGTATACACAGTGCAGACATTGCTGTTAATTCTGCATGCTGGCATCCTGGGGAAGTGTTTGTCAGTGTCAGAGGGGGACGCAGTGTTGGTGTGTGTCTAAATGCTGTCTCCTGGAGCCTGGCTGTTAGTTCATATTCTTATTCTGCTTCTGCAGCTGCACTGAGCCATTCCAGCTCAGCCAACCCCCCTTACTCTACTGCTCTGGACTCCTGTGCTCTGATCCTGAAGAGAAAGTAAAGAAATCTCTTTTATTTCCCTGCAAACGAGTATTATCAGGACTAGAAGGTAAACATCACTTGGCCAGAGGAAAAAGAATACTAATAAAAAAGACTGGTTATCCCAAGCAGGCCTGGGGACTGAACACTGCAAAAATAAAAAACATAAAAACTCTGCTGACCTTCTCTTTGGCATCCACTGGCTGTTTGGACACAAAATCTGCCCCCCTGTCATAGTTGGGGAAGTTTTAATATGGACCTCAAAGTGGCCAACTTCCTCATCCTGAAGAAGGCAGTAGTCCATTAGCAGTGCACCTGACTGCTAACTTGTCCCTTTCAAATTTTAACTCACAGGAGGAAAAAAGGGGAAGCTGACTTTTTTGAATTTGTTGCTGTGTGTGTGAAGACCACCTCCTCTCCAGGAAGATTCCTGTCCCATCCCACCTGTCGCCTTCTGACCAGTATTTGTCCAAGTGCAGTTGACAACCTTTATTTCTTCCACGGTCAAGTGATGTTAACGTTAGGGCAGATGGATGGCACCAGGCAGAGCGCTTTTCTCCTCAGTAGCCCTCCCCTGGCAGCCCTACACAGCATGGCAGAGATGAAGAACCCTCTCTATCCAGCCTATGCCCTCTCAGGGCAACCGTGTTCTTCATCTGCTTCTTCATCCTCCTCCTCCTCATCTTCTCCATCTCCACCCTTAGGCTCCCCAAACCAAGTCACCCTGAAACACTCTTCATCTTCATCACCATCAAGTGGGGTTCTTTCCTCTTTGGGAACACCTCCCCCTCAAGTATCATCAACAGCTACCCCTCATGGGATCAATGATATTTTGAGTCGCCCTGTAGTCTCATGCCTTTCATCCCTCACTGGGGCTTCCCTCTCCCCTTCCACTGCAGTTTCCTCTGCTGGTGTTGCCACCTCTTCTCCTGCAGGAATTCTGGCAGGACTCCCAAGATTCAGTAGTTTGAGCCCCCCACCTCCTCCACCTCATGGACTTTACTTCGGCCCCAGTGCTGCAGTAGCTGTGGCTAGGTACCCCAAACCACTGACAGATCTTCCAGGAAGGACCCCAATCTTCTGGCCTGGAATGATGCAAAGCCCACCATGGAGAGATGCAAGACTGGCCTGTGGCCCCCGTAAGTAATCTACAGCGACATTATTTTGGGGGACATAAAGATGTTACATTAGTACACCTTGAATGATATTAGGCTACAATGTAGATAGTGCTTACTGGGATAATAGGGGCTGAGAAGGGTTAATTTTCTTAATAATGTGGAATGGAGACTTGACTTCTGATTGTAGAATAATCTCATATAATTATGAGATAACAGTCAAAAACTGTTAGAAAAAAAAACAGAATTCTTTTAAGCAGCATTAGTTATATTTTTTTTTCTAAGTCTGTTATTTGTATCTAATTTTTACAAACTGGTTTGTCAAGTCAGCCTCACTGGCTGTTTAGTGAATAGACCCCATATTTTCTGGATTAATGAAAAGGGCAGTGGAGGAAATGTTGGGGTAAATGATAAATGGCTGTATAATACCAGTCATCAGACCAGCTGAAAATATTACAGCACTTACAAGGTAGACACAATAATCAGGTGATCAGAGAAGATTATAGTATTTTTTGGAACGAACAAATAAATATGTTAACACAAAAAATAAAAATAAGAATTGCAGTTTAATTTTGAAATATTTATGTCATGTCATTAAAATGCAGCTATTAACATGCAAACGATTTTAAAGCAATTGTCGAAAAATCATGCACTCTAATATAAATCAGATATAATTAAATGTTTAATGTTACATTTAGCATTTCACATAAACACATAAAGTGAGGATATATATAACAAGCAATTATAATAAGCAAATCAGAATACTTAATACAACCAGAATTGTAATAATAAATTAACCGGATTTTTTCTTCTAAAATTCTTCTAATAATTTAAACAAGCCTGTATATACCATGGACATAATATTATTGGAGATTTGGATATTAAATACCCACTTGAAAAGCAACAATATTGCAATATTAAATGAAAAACATACCGATTTATTGTATTTGTGAAAATTCACAATTGTTGCCATCTTCCCCCTTATTTAAAGTACTAGGCTGTGCAAAAAATCTGAGCCAATTTAGCTTTAATTTTTTTATAATAAAGTGTGAGAATCAGACATTGTAACGTTCTAATTCTCACCAGCAACACACGTTCTAAATTCTCAGTTTCTGTTTTGTTTTGTTGCTGTTTGCGCTACTATTGTGAAATTCAAGCTTTATATATAAAATAAAGTGGAAATATATGGCACATATTTTGTATTACTTGTAATGGAAAAGTTAGCAAGTTTGTTTTTATATATGCTTCTGCATGCATTCATTGGGTGTGTGTGTGTGTGTGTGTTTTCTGTCTGTCTATCTATCTATCTATCTATCTAATCTATGCAATTAAAAAACTCACATATATGAATGTGTTTGTGTATAAACATTATTGTCAATATTTACAGATGACCTTTGTCAGTTTTAGATGAAGTTAATTTTCTATTCCCATTCTTTAAAGTCACAGTAACCATGTTCTGTGTCTCCTGTTTTCCAGACCAGGGCTCAGTCTTGCTGGATAAGGATGGAAAGAGGAAACACACTCGCCCCACGTTCTCAGGACAGCAGATCTTCGCTTTAGAAAAGACATTCGAGCAGACAAAATATCTAGCCGGTCCAGAGAGAGCCAGGCTGGCGTATTCCCTGGGAATGACTGAGAGCCAAGTCAAGGTGAGCTGGGGCATCACTGCTACGTTGGAATGTATGGACTTTGGTGGAACGCTATGGTGGTTCGTCCACTAAACAGTGCTTTTCCTGTGAATTTAATAATGTAGGACAAAATAGCTGTGTTAAAACAAAAATCACAAATTAGTTTTGTTTGCAATTCCGGGTTGAATTCGGTTTTAAATTCACGCGATTTCACAGTTTAGGTTAACTTAAGTATTTTAATGACGAATAATATTCTGATGATGTGAATAATGTGTATCTTCTAACCGAGGATTGTGGAGAATTGAGAAATACATGGAATATTCTAGACAGACATAGCTCCAATTTAACTAATTTCCTGATGAACTATTTTGGTCCAAAATTTGTCTATATTCCCGGTCTAGTATATAATCTAAAAATCATGTCCTAAAAGCATAAATAATGAATGCATTATACAGAGCGATTTAACATGAGTTATAATTGCAACTGCTGGATATCTGTACCATTTTATAGAAAATACTTTTTTGCTTGTATTTTCAAATATAATACTTCTGAGATTTTAATTTTTTTTAGAAATATATTTATATTAAATAGAAAAACCAAACACAACAAAAGAACAGAAAAGAGAAAAAAATAAATGAAAACCAGATATTTATTTTTAATTAAAAAATAATTCTAGATGTAAAAATCTCGATGCATTTGTTTTCCTGGTAAAACAGGTTGTGTGAGTTTTTTTTTTTTCCAGAATAAAACACCCATCAGGGTATCATTTGAGATTTTTAAATCAGAGATGTGAACACTAGTCAAACTACTTAAATGAACTGCATATTAAACACGAACAAAAGATATTTAGAAACTAATGTTTTACTGGTGTCAATTGACACTTATGAGCATTTTTAAACTAATGTAAACTATTTTAAGAGTTTTTCTAATGGTTCTATTTTACTGGGTTCCCAAATAGGGACATTTAACCTGTTGCTATTGTAAGAAGATGTGTCTTGTGTCTTGTCACTGTGTTATCTGTGGCCACTCATTTGTCATGGTAAATGTCTGATAGTGAATACATTACAACCCATGCAGTGATCCCACCCAGGATTCTATTATTCCTTCTCAATTCCCAAGATTCTAGTAAAAAAAAAAAACCATACACACCTGTCATCTGAACTATTGTAGTGTCACCGCACCAATTGTTAAAAAGAACAAGCAAGCCAGAGGAATGGATGGGATTGTCACAACTGGGAGGTTATTTTAACAGATAAATGTCAGAAAATAAAACATTTTTTTTTTTAAACTCTCGACTATTTGTATAAATTTATTTATGATATATATATATATATATATATATCAAAAAAGAAACAAAAAGTAAATTAAAAAAATGCACTAATGAAAAAATAAAATCTCGTTTTAATACATATTATAATTCTTTCTAATACATATAATAAGTTGAAATGTGCCTGTGGCTGTTGCTTACATTATTTCATTATTTTTACATTTCCTTATGATGTGAATATATTGCATGCTTGTATATGTCACACACACATATATGCTATATTATATATTTTATATGTGAATAGAATTATCGTGTTGGAATAAATACTCATAGTTTTGCTGGAATTCATAATATAAACTGCAAATCGGTTGTGATTGCAAGTGGAAGCAGAGTTTTGCAGACAGTGTATCTCAGTGTTATAGTGTAAATATTCAGATAGGAATTATATGCAGATAGTACATGGTAGGGGTTGCTGTTCTGCATAGTCTGACAGGTTAGCAGTATGATGCGATGTGTTACTTATAGCGAAAGATGGCTTGAGATCTTCGTAGAAGCTGCAGTGAATGGGAGATCCATGGTGAGGTTATATAAAGGACTCGTGATGATGCAGGACTGGTGATGTGAATTGTGATAAGTTCTGGAGACCACTGTTGTAGGGGCTTGTGATTGGCCAATGCCTGCTCTTTCTGCTCCTTTTCAGTCTAGGCAACTTGTGGCACGCATTTCATCTTTTATCTCCATAACTATAGAATCATTAGGATATCTGTAATATATATATATATATATATATATATATATATATATATATATATATATATATATATATATTGCCTGTAGTTTAATAATATCAGGTGTCTGTTAGCTGGTTAATAGATATTTCTAGACTTTGGAAAATGACCCCCTCTCCCACCCCCAAAATAAAATATCAGTCATTAATTCCAAAATATTCTTCTATTTTATTGCAAAGAACAGCTTTAACAAAATCCTGTATTGCCTTATTTTCTGGTCTGAACAGGTTAATGTAACATAGATATTATAAAAATACCGATGCATATAATTCATGGTAAACTCCTGCATAATGGTTAAGGGGGAAAAAAGTAACATATAAGTTTTCAGATAAAATTCTAAAAATAAGAAAAACATATGGTATTTTTTAATTTAATCTTTTATCTGTGTTTATATAAAGGGAAAACTAGGGAATTTAACCCCATATTTGCTGATTGTGAGTAAATAACACTTAGATCATAAATTAACCTAGATTATTTTTTATTATTACTATAATTATTCTTTTTAGAGCGTTAAGTGCACTTTGTAACCAGGATTGCATATATTTTGTGTGATGCTTGTATTTTTTTTTTTTGAGTTCGCTGGTCTCGTTATGCTCAGTCTATTATAGAGAAGACTAAATTCGTGTTATATTAAATTATTATTTTTCCCCTTATGTCCTCTGCAGGTTTGGTTCCAGAACAGGAGGACCAAATGGAGGAAAAAGCATGCTGCAGAGATGGCTACAGCCAAAAAGAAGCAGGACACGGAAACTGAGAGACTGAAGGGGGCTTCAGATAACGAGGAAGAGGATGATGACTATAACAAGCCCCTGGACCCCAACTCAGACGATGAGAAGATCAACCAACTTCTTAAGAAACACAAATCCAGCAGCTCACTGCTTCTGCAGCAGTCTGAAAATGACAGCTCTTCTTAGAGGGATGGGTGGACAGCCCCTGGACCTGGACAAGTAGGGTGGTCTACAGACTCTAGAGATGGAATGGAGACAATTAGTTGGTCTGGACAAGGTCTTCTTCTGATCAACTCTTCCTGAACAAGGTCACCTTCCCTCCTCTTTATACTCACAGCACTGCGCCTAGGGCGATATAAGACTTTATTTTCTAAGATGTACATATATATTTTTATACATTCTAAGCCGATGAAAGATATTCAGTATTCACACACAAGCTATTATCCAGACACAGTAGCATTGATGGGTTATGAGTAAATAGTAATTCTTGGCTCAAGTTCTAAAAGTGGAACAATCAACAAGACTATTCAATTGGCTTCCATGCTGACTGTTCCAATGATAGAACTTTGCTCCAGAATTACTCTTTGTACAAAACCCCTTATTATGGTGCAGAAGATATAGTAGCCACCCAGTTACTTAAAAGGAGAATGGGAGATAGGCATTGAAACATGGGATTAGACATTCTCTCCACTAAAAAAACTGTTATTAATGGAATTTTGTTAAGATGCATGTGATCTGGAAGGATTCACTTAATCAGCTTGTTGAAGGGTCTTGTAAATAAAACCGTGAGTCACTCAGATAGGAGGTTGCTCCACTGTGAATGTTTGAATGTAAAATATTATTTTTTGTTTTGTTTTGTTAAAAATAAATATGGGAGATGTATAGCCAGTGGGGGGTGTCACATGACAATGTTCATGCATCCGTTCTGTTTTTCCTTATGCCCTGTCTTCCTGCAAACTGAACTCATGCCCACTCTTTACTAGAACATATTTGATAAATGGACAACTCCTTCTCCCCCATAGGCCAGTTAAATATTGGATTTGACTGTATTGTTGCACACATTTTGATATTTATTACTAACTGATACATGTGCAAATAAAAACAAAAAAACAAACAAACAAACAAAAATAAAAACAACAACACACAAAAAAACTACATGATTGTGGAAAAGGGTTATAAAAAATATTTTTCACAATAAATCTTATTGCAGTTATATAAATGGTTAATGTTGTAACCACAACCTTATAAACACGGATACTCCTGAATAAATTGTACTGCATTCTAAATAATGTTTTGTATGATAAAAAAAAATTTACTATAGGAAATGTAAATGGCATTCTTTTTAAGGTATACCTACAGTGATATTATACTGGCATCTTACATTTATTAATTTATATAAAGAAAATGTTTTAGTTTGGAGAAAAAAAAAGTAAAGATTAAGACTTTACAAAAACATGCAGTATGTAATGCACTTTTTTTGTTTTAAACAAACAAACAAACAAACAAAAAAAATAAAAAATAAATAAAAAATAAGGGTGGTAATGATTAGAGAAATCTAACTGCCCTAAACACAATGTTATGGATAATCTGATCTCTTGAGAGATCCAATAAAATGTTAACAATAACTGATTCTGTTTGATCACCTTGCTTTTGTGTTACTTTTAAAGCACTTTGTTGTTTGTAGTTGTACATTGTCTTGTGTTCATTATATCAGTAAAATTCTCACAGCTTCAATTCTTATTTTCTTATTTTTAGTTATTTATATCCAAAAGAAAGTTCATGCAATATGTCATGTTGTTGATTAAAAAGTACCTATATTAGAATTTAGATCGCCACCTCTGGTATTCATTATTTCGGTATATTCATTGAATCCTAAAATGCTCAAGGAATGAATAATTTTAGTTACAAATGACCAAACTCTTACAATAGCTGAGACATTTTCAAATCAGTTCTATTTCTAATAATTTTGCAATTCAGATTTCAATTCGTTATACTTTGGTATTCAGCGAACAAACCATAACTAGTATATATGAAAACCATTCAAAGCTATATCAAAATATATAGGTTAACTTTTTTATGCTCAAATGTCTTTTTTTTTTTTTTAAAGTTCTCAAGTCAGTATTTAGTGAATATACCCCTTTGTGTTTAAACAGCTGGGGAATTAATCTTCAGAATGGCGATTTATTTATATGTTCACTCAGCAATTCTAAAACGTTGTGTTTTTATTTCAGCCCTTGAAAAAAAGGAATATTAAATTATTTTTTTCCCCAGATTTTTAATTTTAATTTTACTTATTTTTTTTTATTTTTTTAGCAAATTCCTTTAACAATTCTGTTATCACATTTTAGTTTAATAGCTACCTAGAATGAAATCTTGAATTGGACTTAAAATTGTGTTTTCCCATGTACTTTCCAGATTCCAATTGCCATGACACTGTACATTAGATTGTATCTATTCTTTACATAGCAGGACCTGACACTTCGATTTACAAGCCAAGGTTAATTAGATTGCTATGCATGTTTATGATTATTTTTATGTTCAAGTGCCATAATAATCTAAACCCAGATCAGATACTAGACGCTGATTCATTTTCAGCAGATAAAAACAACGTACTGAAAATATTCTATAAAAACTGCACGATGGAAGTCTTTTAAAGAATTTTAGCAGGTTTTGGATAGAAATAGAAAGATACAAGACACGGTTAATTTCCCATTAATTATTAACTGATTGTTTACATAGTACTGGCCACCCTCCCTCTATATAATCAATGATGATATAGTACTATCCAGCCCTATATGGATTATTTAAAAGCTCATATTCTATTCTGATCAATAGGGGGAGTAGTCTGTGTTGCTTTTTAAGCAAGCTTCCTATTGGTAGAAACACAGGTATGTACTATACTGTACCTTTTATAAGCAGGGCAAATATGCAAAAAACAATAGCATGCCATCAAAATAATTATGGCAAATCATAAAATATACATTATATATCATTTAAAAAAAGGTATAGATATATATAATATTTTAAATGTATTTTATTTAAATTTTTTAGATTTTCTGACATGCCATTATTAGACATACTTTTTGATGCTATTGTTTTTAAAAAACACTGTCAATGTCTTATATATGTCACTTATATACACTGAGCCAGGAGAAACTTTACAATCCGTTGTTAGTAGATTTGGGACCCTGCACACGTCATTCCTCCTGTCATCATCTAAAAAGTGTTAATCAAAAGCGCAAATCACACTGTATCACACATTACACTGTAGCACACAGTACAATATAGCACATTACATTGTATCACACATTACAATATAGCACATATTACAATGTAGCACATATACAATGTAGCACACAGTACAATGTAGCACATATTACACTGTAGCACACATTACATTGTAGCACACATTACACTGTATCACACATTACATTGTAACACACATTACAATATAGCACATATTACAATATAGCACATATTACAATGTAGCACATATTACATTGTAGCACACATTACATTGTAGCACACATTACAATATAGCACATATTAAATTGTAGCACACATTACAATGTAGCACATATTAAATTGTAGCACACATTACAATGTAGCACATATTACATTGCAGCACACATTACAATATAGCACATATTACATTGTAGCACATATACAATGTAGCACACATTACAATATAGCACATATTATATTGTAGCACATATACAATGTAGCACACAGTACAATGTAGCACATATTACACTGTAGCCCACATTACAATGTAGCACATATTACACTGTAGCACACAGTACAATGTAGCACACATTACAATGTAGCACACATTACAATATAGCACATATTACAATGTAACACACATTACAATGTAGCACATATTACACTGTAGCCAGGGCCGGACTGGGAAAAAAATTAGGCCCGGGCATTTTTCAATTAGAGCGGCCCCCCAAGTAGGGGGCGCAGCCAGAGAGGGTGTTTTTTGTCATCACTAATGACAAGTACGCCCCTTCTGAAAGTGAGCATGCTGGTTCAATGCGCAGAGCCCCACTGAAGAGCTCTGGCATTAGAAAAAGGCCCTGAATTTGTTCTGCGCAGTGCAAGCAAATGTAATAACATGCTTGCGCTGTGTTTGCTTTTAAATTGTCTTTGGTGTCTCCACAAGTGGGATACCAGAGGACAAAAGGGCCAGGAAAGTGTATGGTGCATGTGTTTGGCGGATGCTTGTGGGATTGCGTGTGTGTAGAGTGTGGTGTGGTATTGTGTAAATAGGTCAATTTTGTGGTGTAATATGTGTGGCTAGGGGCTGTAGAGAATGCGTGTATAGGGGCATAGTGTTATAGGGGATGTAGCAAGTTTGTGCATACGGGCAGTAGTGTGTGTGTATAGGTGACGTAGTGTGTGTAGGGGTTGTAGAGAGGGTGTGTTTAGAGAATGTTGTATGTGTTTGCTTACAAGGATTGTAGTGTGTGTGTAGATGGTGCAGTGTGTGTGTGTAAGAGATCTAGTGTGTAAAGGACCCAGAGTGTGTATAGAAGTGTGTGTGTGTGTGTGTAGAAGATTAAGAGTGCATATAGGGTAAGGGATCTAGCGTGTATCTGGAGCGTAATGTGTGTAGTGGTGCAGTGTGAGGGGTGCTGTAGTGTGTGTATATATATATATATATATATATATATATATATTTGGACGTATTGTATGTGTGAGGTGTGCAGTGTGTTTGTGTAAGAGGGGTGCTGTATGTGAGGGTGCTTTTATCTGCCGTCACATTCTAGGTTTCTAATTTTCTTTGTCTGTTAACTCACTGAGGTTTATTATATATATATATATATATATATATATATATGTTCTGTATATGTGTGGGAGTGAGGGTGCTGTCTGTCTGAGGGTGTTGTGTGTGTCTGGGGGTGCTGTGTGTGTCTGTGCGTGTCTGGGGGTGCTGCGTGTGTCTGAGGGTGCTGTGTGTGTCTGAGGGTGCTGTGTTTGGGTGCTGTGTGTGTCTGGGGGTGCTGTGTTTGGGTGCTGTGTGTGTCTGGGTGCTGTGTGTGTCTGGGGGTGCTGTGTGTGTCGTCTGGGGGTGCTGTGTGTGAGGGTGCTGTGTGTGTCTGGGTGCTGTGTGTGTCTGGAGGGTGCTGTGTGTGTCTGGGGGTGCTGTGTGTGTTTGGGTGCTGTGTGTGTATGGGGTGCTGTGTGTGTCTGAGGGTGCTGTGTGTGTTTGGGTGCTGTGTGTGTCTGAGGTGCTGTGCGTGTCTGAGGTGCTGTGTGTGTTTGGGTGCTGTGTGTGCTCTGGGTGCCTGTGCGGGTGCTGTGCGTGTGTCTGAGGGTGCTGGGTGCTGTGTGTGTCTGGGGGTGCCGTGTGTCTGGGTGCTGCGCGTGTCTGAGGGTGCTGTGCATGTCTGAGGGTGCTGTGCGTGTTTGGGTGCTGTGTGTGTCTGAGGGTGCTGTGTTTGGGTGCTGTGTTTGGGTGCTGTGTGTGTCTGAGGGTGCTGTGTTTGGGTGCTGTGTTTGGGTGCTGTGTGTGTCTGAGGGTGCTGTGTTTGGGTGCTGTGTGTGTCTGAGGGTGCTCTGTGTGTGAGGGGGCTGTTAGGGAATTTATTTTAATTTTTTTTTAATTAATAATTAAAAAAGAAAAGTTATGTGTGTCCCCCCCCCTCCCTTCTTACCTTTATCCTGGGAGGGGGGAGGAGGAGATCCGTTCTGCCTGGGGGGGGAGGAGATCCGTTCTGCCATGCTTCCCTGGTGGTCCAGTGGTGAGAGTGAACTCTAACCTGCGGGTTAGAGTTCACTCTCGTGAGAGCTGAGCGTTGCCGCGGTAACCGCGGCAACGCTCAGAATCTCGCGAGAGGACCCTGCGCAGCTGCTGGTTAGAGCTCCGCCGGTCCTCTCTCTTCCCTCCCCAGCCGGCGGCCGCATCTCCCTGCCTCTGGGCCGGTGAGGGAGATATTTGATCTCCCCACCGGCCCATGGAGGCACTATGCAGGGCCGGCGCTCGGATAGCGCTGGCCCTGCAGGGGCCGGCCGGGGAGATCCCCTGCCGGCCTCGGCCCCACGGCCATCGCGGCCCACCGGGCATTTGCCCGGTATGCCCGATGGCCAGTACGGGCCTGACTGTAGCACACATTACACTGTAGCACACATTACAATGTAGCACACATTACATTGTAACACACATTACAATATAGCACATATTACAATGTAGCACACATTACAATGTAGCACATATTACACTGTAGCCCACATTACAATGTAGCATATATTACACTGTAGCACACATTACAATGTAGCACACATTACAATATAGCACATATTACAATGTAACACACATTACAATGTAGCACATATTACACTGTAGCCCTTATTACACTGTAGCACACATTACAATGTAGCACATATTACACTATAGCACACATTACACTGTAGCACACATTACAATGTAGCGCATATTACACTATAGCACACATTACAATGTAGCACACATTACACTGTAGCACACATTACAATGTAGCACACATTACAATGTAGCACATATTACACTGTAGCACACATTACAATGTAGCACATATTACACTGTAGCACACATTACATTGTAGCACACATTACAATATAGCACATATTACAATGTAACACACATTACAATGTAGCACACATTACAATGTAGCACATATTACACTGTAGCACACATTACACTGTAGCACACATTACATTGTAGCACACAGTACAATGCAGCACATAAT